AATGTAACAATGGATTTCAATGGATATAGTAGTCCAGGATGACGGGGTCAAGCCTTTTGAGGAGGGCCAGTAGTTTTGCCCAAGGGCTCAGATCATACCCAGTGCCTGGTCTTTCTCTGGGATGCCGTGCTCAGAACAGGTTGTGATCAAGCCCACAGGTGGTAGAACATGCTTTTTGAGAAGTTGTGATGCATTCCAAAATAGATGATAATGGTAAAAAGTGTGCAAAGATATCAACAATTAAAAATAGCACAAATTTGTGAACTTATTCAACCAGACACACATGCACACCATTGTACTTTATATTCTTCCTAAGCCCTGTCATTTTTATTGCATGTCCATTAAAGTAGCAGCAGTTGCAATGACAACAGGCTATACTAGTAGGACTGGATTTTGAGATGAAGAGAAAGTAACAACATATAACTAAATTTTAAAAAAATTACAGAAGATGTGAAAGAGTATAACATGTTCAGAACCAGCGATTTGTTGGATGGAGCATTTGGTCAACAAACTGACATTCCTGCAGATCAGGGCCAATCCACCATCAGCACTACTTCTGGTTATCCTCATCATAAGCCTGCCATATTATGGAATCACCACATAAGAGTGAATTCTTTACTCTGATCTCATTCTGTGATGTTTTACCAGGAAATCATCCTGTATTGGGGAACAGGACTCAAGAGTTAGAGGGGCCTCCTTCACTGTCACTTTTACTTCCTTGGTTAGACTTCAGCCTAAAAGGAAGGGGAACCAGCTAGAAGTCTATTGGTAGGTTGTAATCCAGCTGTGATCTTAAAAATCTGTTCCCAGGCTATTTCCTTTTCCTTGTTTCTATCTCCACGTCTTTGTCTTAACACCAAACTACAATAAAACTACCAGTAGTTTTTTTAAAAACTCTCAGATATTCTCAATATGTGTAGAAAAAGAACAAGGGGATCGTTGCTATCCATAGTAGTCCTTCAAAACTTCTCTCAAGGGCTTCCCTCAATGGTGGCTCCTTTTGGGGTGAAATGATGCAATCTGGGGCAGAGGCATCTTGGATAGGAAAGCTGAATGAGCACCACTGCCCAAGATGTCAGGAGCTACTTGGAAGCCCTGAGGCATGATTAATGAAGGAGGGAGACCCGGACCAAGTGTGGCGTCCCTCATAGAATGGCTGGTTTTCTTAGACTTGTTCGAGCAAGAGTTGGCACTAACATCCAGCTAGAGTTCATTTTCAGTACCAATTCCAAGGAGCTAATTCTAGGAATGAAGCCTTTTCTAAGTTTGGTTCTTCAAAGGGAGGCAGGTATTTGGAATACTTGCAAATTCTTAGGCAGAAATTTGAGAGGCCAGATCCCATGGATCCTCTGTCCTCCGGGTTCCTTTCATAATACTGAAGCAACAAATATGTTTATTTTCTATAGGCAGTGGTGGGATTCAAAGGGTGTAACAACCGGTTCGCTGAGCGTGCACCAAACGTGCGCTATGCGCATGTGCATTGCATTTGAAAATAGCAAGACAACTTGCCTTTTACTGCAGCCCTGGTGAGTAAAAACAGCTGAGGCAGGGCAATCTGCACTGCCGTGCCAATCAGCTGGGCTTTAAATAAAGGAAATATAGGACAGAATGTAGGTGCTGCCCGTTGCCTAGGCCAGGCGAGTCAGGAGACTGAGGCCTTGGGGAAGCACTTTCCCTAAAAACAAAATGGCCACCCAGCAATTCTAAAATGGCCGTCCACCATGTGGGGTGGCCCTGGGACGACCTAGCCACCGTCTTTGCTCCTTATGCTCTTACCAGGCCCCGAGCAATCAAATTAAGCTGGAACAGCTGAGAAGCGGCAAGAACGAAGCTTCGGAGTCAGCTGTGAAGCGGCTTGGCCGGCGGCAGCAACAACAAAGTTGCGATCAGTGGGGCTGCATGGGAGGTTCCTCTGAATGTTCCCTGGGTCCGCAGTCCTTGCGCAGCAGGGCCAAAGCCTCGGCGTTGCAGGAGAGCAGATCCCCGTTCTCCTGGAGGCAGAGCTCTACTGGATGCCCAGGAGCTGGATTTTAAATGTATTGCTATCTCTTTGAGTCCAAACTTTTCCTTTAGCTGTTTAAAAGCATTTCTTCCAGAGACTATGCTCTCAGACAAGAAGCTGAGCCAAAAGATGGGTGGGCCAGCCAGAGGCTGGCTTGTTATAGTGGCAGACTCAGCTCTATGATGTCAGAAGGAGGAGCATAACCCATTCCTGGATTCTCCAGGTAGCGTGGATGAGAACTACCGGTTTGCCTGAACTGGTCTGTACTGGCTGAATCCCACCCCATCTATAGGTGGTTCTTGCTTAACTATCATTTGTTTCAAAATTATGACAGTGCTGAACAAATGTTAGTTATGACTAGTCCTTGCAGCTGTTGCCATTGTAGTGCTCTCAAAATCAACATGCTGGTGCTTGGTAGCCCGCCTGAATGTATAACTGCCCCCACTCGTTTATCTTCTGCCCTGACCTCTGCCCCCTGCTGACCGTTGCTGTCTTCTTCCTCTGGTGCTGTTGAAGCAGGCCTGTAGATGCTGGCCTTTAGTAGTGGAGTGCAGGGCTGCCAAAAGGGCAGAGATGGGGTAAGATTGGTGGGGGAATCGAAGCAGGAGCAAGCACAGCAAAGTGGGAGAGCCTCATCTGGGGAAGGGAGCTTGCTGGACCCAGCTGGGGAGGAGACAACAGGATGGAGCCATCAGTTTGTGCAGGATTGTTTCTCCTAATGACTGTTTCCTATGGGGTGGAAATTCTGGTCCTAATTAGGGTTCTTTAAGTGAGGACTGCCTGTAGAGGGCATCATTTTTCTGTTTTACATTATTACTATTCGCAGCACTGCTCTTAAATATTTGAGAAATTCATAATAATTGTTTTTTATGTCACTGTATATGAAAAGCTTTAAAATGGGGAGTTGGGCTTGGTACCTGTTGACATGTGCAGTTGCAAAGAAGAAGATCTGGAAGAGCCTTGATGCTGTCACAGCCCCCACTCCCCCGAAAAGAGCATGATGCGGGAGTTCTGTATCCAGATGCTTTTTTTGCTCATTACGTTTTACTTGGAGGTTGTTATTTTGTCCTGCATTTATTATAGGTGTTGTAAGGAGCTGTTTGGAATTCCTAGGTAATCCAGCCCTCGATGGGGCTAGATCCACTTAGTCCTACTGAATGCAACAGGCTTTCAGGCATGGTTACAGGCCGGTGCAAAGCAAATTTGTTCTGTAACTTTCAGCTCAGTAATGAAGCCTCCCTTTTCGGTATTAAGTCCTACAGGTGAACCTGAAGGTGCCTTGGCTCACTTGCTAACCTCTTCTTACCAAATGCACATCTGGATCTGCCCAGCTGACTGCGCTTCATTGAAATATGTTCCTTTTTCTTAATTCCTCCGCCCATTGGTTGATTTAAGTCTGTCTGGGGCAACTCATTTTCCTCCATAGACTTTGGGCCAACCGTCATTTTCCATCTCTTCCTTTTCCCCATCCTGTCTAACTTTCGGGCATTATCTGTGGGAGGTAATAAATAAAGCAGTGCTTGTTATTGTCCTCCAGATCTCTTCTCTCATAGGGTTGATTTGGGAAGGGACTGAACTAATTTTTAGCAATAAATGTCATGTTGTTATGATTACTGCCCAAGGGGGGCAGAGCTAAAACTAAACCATCTGTTTTTCTGTCTTAGCCACAGACCAACAACAAAGCCAGTGTAGTAAGCCCAGCAAAAGAAACGCCCCCAGTGCAGATGTCCATGGTATCTTTCCCAACCATTTCTTTGTCCTTGCTTCATTTTTGGTCCTTACCTTTGGCCAGAATGCTGCCTGTGTTGCTCTTTTGTTTTGGCTTAGTTCTGTCTGCACTCCCAAACATTATCCCAACTTTCCTTGCCAGTTGGAGGTGCCAAGTGCTCTAGTGTCTGTATGTGGGTCCTGCAGCTTGGCCAGACCCGAAGGAAGCCGTAGCAGAGTGGCCATCAGCATCCAGTCTCCAAGGAAGGAAGAAGGAAGGGAAAACTCCCCTGTGGTCTGATTTGCACAGGGTTTTTCGCTACTCCCCACTAACACTCTTGCTGAGGGCCACCCATTCCAAGGGCAGTGGAAAGGCCCCTTGGCTGGCTGTCCTTAAAAACTGAGTGGTAGCCTTATGCAGTATCTGAGGGGAAAACGTGAGGGCATTATGCCCTGAGTCCTACTGCTGACGAGGGGGCACCTGAGGGCTCCCGGGGAACAAAACTGGATAAGGACAAGCCTCTCCATAATCATTCAGGAATGAGGGCCGGTGTAAGACCTTAGTGGGATTCTTAGAGACTGGATAGTTGCTTTTCATTCTCTGTAATGCTTTTTTCCCCTCTTGGGATATTTCATAATTTTAATTCCCACATACACAGTGTATCCCATAACACACTGGCTTTAAAAGAGTTGCTTGTAAGTTGCTTAGCTTCTTCTCTTTGTACTGAAGTCATCCCATCTTGGCAACTCCATTTGAATCAAACGTGAGATTTTGCCTATTCTCTGTGTAGTTCTTTGCTATAGCATATACGGGTGCTTTTGTCGCCCATTGCGTGGGAAATTATGAATGTCCTCATAGAGAGAGAAATAATGCCACGAAGCTCTGTGGGGAAGATATGGAGACAAAGCCATATGTTCAGCCTCTTTATTCTGAGTGAAGTTTTAAGTGAACATTTTCCTTTATTTAATGAATTACAACAGTTTGCCCAAACTTTTTACTTGATAGTTGTAATGAGCTTTCAGATGAAATGTATAGATTTTTAGAATATGGAGAAATACACATGGCTTTGTCTCCTAGAAAATGTAGGTATTAGTGGGTCTTTTTGAGTAACTTTTGGGCTCTCCAAGGGAGTGGTTTGTGTATATCTATTATCTGCTCACACCATCCTCAGATAGAAATCTTGCGCTTTGTTCTTGTTTGTTATTTTGCTTTCCCAACAGATACTGCACAGAGAAGGAAACATACTTTGAGCTAGATTTTGATTCTTTATTTCTGTCCTCTTTCAATTAGGAACCACAAACTACTGTTGTCCACAATGCTAATGATGGCATAAAGGTAAGGTGAGATTCACAAAAGACCTCCATAATTCTGAACTGGCCTTTTCTTTATCATTTGAAATTTCATGCATTACATAGGATTTACATTAGCCAAAGTTATATTTAATTAATTGTATAAACCTGCTAGAAAAGATGGTCGGCAAGTTTTCCCTGAGTCCTATGCTGTCTAACTGGCTTACCTCATTATTTAGATAGCTGGCATAACAAAAAAATTCATTTTATTTTGAAATATATCTATATTTATGGCTGATTTGGAAATTTCAATCAGAGATTTCTCCTTTTTTGATACAGAAAATATAATGCAAACTACTAAAATACTAAACTTATTGAACATTTTCTTGTACTCCCTTTTTATGCTTGGCACAAAATTGATACAAAATACAACTTTCCTACAAATTACAAATTAGGTGTGGTGTTTCTCATCATAAGCAGTTTCAGTATAACTTCTCTTCCTGACCATGTTTTCTTTTATTATTGTGAGCTTTCTTTTAATTGTGAACTTTGATCCATTTGATCCTGAGAGTTATCCCATATAAAAGCTTGTAGTAGGGTTTTATTTTAAAGAAATCAAAATCTACAACATAATAATGCAGTTAGTTCCCGACTTACAACCATAATTGGACCAGAATTTATGTTGTTAAGCAAGGCCGTTCTTAAGTGAGTCATACCCAATTTAACCATCTTTTTCCATAGGTTGTAAGTGAATCACTGCAGTTGTTAAGCCAACCCAGTTGTTAAGCATCCCCCATTGGTTTTGCTTATATAAGAAAGCTGGCTGGAAAAATTTGGGTTGCTGGGAGTCACACAATCATTGTGTGAGTCATACAGTTTGACCACTATGAAGAAAGCCCTGTGCCAGGCAGGCATCACTAGATTGATGTAAAAAAAAAGAATAAATATATCCAGAAAATTTCAGAGTATAGAAGATTACAGAAGACATTCCATCATTTATCTGTAATTTAAACAATACTGTGGCTTGGAGATGTTGAGAGGCCAGTGCAATGAGGAAAGGGGCAATAAAAAATTACTAGTGGAATTTCAAAATAGTATATGGTATAAGACTGCATCAAATGAATGAAAGTTACCAAATGTCCGTTTTTCCTTCTCATCTGATTTTTTTGAAGAAGTCTGCTTGTCTTGTGAATGCTGATGTTTCTATCCTGCAGGGTTCTACAGAGAGCTGCAATACCACCACTGAAGATGAAGATTTGAAAGGTACATACAGCTAAAGAGAAAATAGAGCAGGGATTGCAGGGTCATTGGCAAAGCGGTTTTTTTCTATGCCAGCTTCTGTGCATAAAAAAGGTTGATTGATACCGTTTAAAGAAATAAGAGTTATTGTAATTCCTGTCTTCTGGATTTGCTGGTTTACTGGCTGGGCATATTATTATTGTGGTTGGTTGCACAGTCAGCCAAATGTTTAAACTGGATTTGATAGTTTTATCTTTCTATTGAGTCCTTCCCAAGGACCTGAGATATTACTGTTATTTATTAAATTTACTTACTATTTATTTATTAAATTTACTTACTGTTATTTATTAAATTTACTTACTATTTATTTATTAAATTTACTTACTGTTATTTATTAAATTTACTTAGCTGCTGATTCTCAGCAGCTCTGGATGCTTTACAATTGTTAAAGACATTTAACACAAAAGCCCAGAAGGCAAAAAAACAATGATGGCTAAGAAAACACACACATATATATTTCTTTATGTATGTAAACAACTTCATCATTGTTCTCATTTCTAATATTTCACCATTTAGGAATCTTATTGAATCTTGCTAGTAGTTTCCGGGAAAACAGATTTGCAGTATTTCTATGCAATGTGTAAAAACTATAAGATGAACTATTCACAGTTCAAGCTGCTATAATAGGCAAAACATTAATTTCCATTATTTACAGCATGTCATAATGAGTCCTTTAAACTGACCTTAACTTACTGACTAGAATTGAAGGAAAGTACTTGCGTTGTTCTGTGTGGATGTGATGCTTCTGGAGAGTTCTTATATCAAACTGTTCTTGCTTATCTATCAAGGCAAGCCCCTCAATTGTGGAATTACATCTCCAATCATACCTCCCATGCAAAAATCTGGATGATCACAGGATGGCAGCACAGGGTCATAAAAGTGCAAATGCATTGCTACCATCTAATGGGTAACTAGGCTGTACTAATCCACTGTTTGCCTTGTTCTCCCTTGTCTTTTGAAAAAGTGGTAGGGTGGGAAGTGGGCAGAATCCGGGGAAAGCAGCATACAAGCTTGTACTGTTTTATAGGTCACTCCAAGCAATCAAAATCTTTTATTTCTAAACAGAAAACTAGATTGAGGGCCAGCCTGTTTTAAACAGGGTGCATGCCTCCTGAAACAACAGCTTTGGAGCATACCTGGGAATCACTGTCTACGTTACTCATTTCTGAGCAGGTCATTTGGCATTGCTTACCTATACTTTGGTTCCCTTCCACTGTACTGTTCTGTACATTGAGCTACATTAGTAAAGTCACAATAAGTGGTTATGTTACTATATGATATTAAAAAATCTGAAGCGTTGGGCAACTTCACTGTGTATAATGAAGGTGTTGTTTTTAAGGAAAAATGACTTATGGGATGACTGTCACAGGATCCATTTCTCCCCTTATGAAACATCTGTAGTGGTGGAAGGAAGGCAGTGTTACACAGTTGGGGAAGCATCATCTTCACATTGTACTTGTGAATTGCCTCTCTGTAGAATAATTAAAAATTAGACCTAAGCTGAGACAATTTCTTAGTTTCGCTTTACATAATTATCAAAAGGCCCTATGTTTGATCTTTCAAGGCTTTTACTTCAGGAATTTGAACATGAATCTCCCAAGCCTCAGAATCAAAAAAGTGAAGGGATCCTTGAATTTATTTGACCAACTTCTAACCTGACTAAGCTTAATGTTAACAAAGCCAGTCTCTATACTGTCAATGTTTTGTTTCTTCCTCCAGTTCATATAACCACTAGACCAGTATTTGGTTGGTTGGCAACTTTAAGATGTGTTGACTTGAAGTCCGCACAGGCTGAAGTAATACAAAATGGTTCTGTTATTTAAAGACATTTTCTTGGACTTGGTGAGACAAAGCCTGCCTTTCTTGAGTCAACAGAAAAATCTTCCTGGCTATGCCTTGCAGACTAGCCATTACATCTGGACAGATTGCAAAAAGTCACTAAATATATTCTTGTTCTTGTCTGGTTTTGCAGTCATCAAAGTGAGAAAACAGTTTTCTAATTTAAAATGTGGCTTAGTATTTATTTGGCTGTCATTCTCTAGAGATTTCCACATTTTTGAGTAATCTACCTTGATTAGCGGAAGTAGATATTAAGAGGTGTTAGGAGAAATGAAAGGGACAGAGATACTTGAAAACCTGTTTGGTCAATCTGCTTTCTCAGTCAGACAGTCCCAAACGTTGCATTTGTGAAGACAGAAGGTTCTTTGCTTGCATGAAAATGAGGTGGGAAAAGCACCGAGAGTTATTAATGGGCACTTAGTATTTTTCTATCTTTCTTCATTAGGACAGAGAAAGCATATAATCGAATTAGAACAGTAGCATTATGCTTGCGGCATTTGTAACTCACTTTTCTTCCATGACATTCAGAGTACCCTTGATCTGATCCCCAACCTACTGAGATTAAGTTGAATTGCTCACTCAAAAATTGTTATAGGAGACGGGGATGTAATGCTCTGGCCTTCTTACAACGCCCTCTCCAACTTATTGATTGGTTTAATAAGAAAATATTGATTTGGGGACAAGATCTGACATTTTCCTTGCTGAAATTGGCATTTTAAAAAATTCCAAATAATTGCGATGTCTTTTGTTTCCTCCTAAATGTCTGGAAAATATGCTCCTGGGCCAGACAAACAAGCTTCTCTCTGCAGCATAGCTTTCATTGTAACATGGAATCCGTGGAATATTTTATTCTCCACCTTGTGTCTCATTTAGTTCTCAGAGTCGGTATATCAAAAGAATGGGTCTCTTTGAAAAGATACTTGATGTGTCCCTCCAATGGAGAAGGTGTTCCAGAGATCTATCAAAGATTGGCCCTGGCGCTTCTCTTATCTCCAGGAGCAGTGTGTGCTCTGGGATTTTGTCTATGTGGATGGGTGTGGATTTGTATTTTCAGTGCTATTCTTATCCTGCTTTCTGCTTTTATTTTTATTTTAATGCTTGCATTTGTTTTGCAGCTACTGCTACACTGTCTTATGAAGAGAAGCTTCTTGCCTGGGATAGCCCAGGGCAGACAGTGGAGTTGGATCGTGCTCAGTCGGAGCCTGTCCTAACTCCAGTAGTTCCATTTGCATTTAACAGTCTATCATGTAAGTTAGATGTTCATTAGCAGTAGTAGTTAGCAGGTAGAGAAATATTAGTAATGATTTATGCCCCTTTATTTTAACACTTCCCCTTTTTAATTTTTCCATTCCTACCTTTCTTCTCTACCCTCCTGTAGCAGTTACCACTTTCTGCTTGAATTAATTAGTTTGTAAGCTGTTCATTACTAAGTGTCCCCATCCCTGGAAAACTGTCATGTGCCACACTCTATCTGCATTCCCTTACGTTTCACCCTGGGATAAGTCATTGACCAATTGAACGTTGTTGACCAAGCGTTATAGAGAAAAATGTACATGGAAATGTTAACAAAAATCCTAAGAAAGCATCTGTTAATACCACTGTCAATTGTAGCAAATTAGCATCTCTTCTAGAATTATCAGATAACTTATCCTCAAAGTATTCTCCTCCTCTGAGCTGCTGCTGTTAGAATGGACTTTCAAAGGGCATATCACGAAGAAGAGACGGCACAAAAACATATCAGAAATTGTGGCTGTTTCCTCTGTCAGGCAGTGACAAAGGGTCCCTTGTGGAATCTTCCTACATATTTAGTTATATGACAAAATGGGAACATCCTTGCCCAAGCCATAGGATGAGAACTGAATCAATTGGCCATCTTTCCTCATTGTCTTTTCTACCTACATGAAAACCTAAATGATAAGAGTGAGTGATGAATGCCACAAAGTTCTTTGCCATTCTCATTAAAATCATTAATATTGTTTATTTTGAGTGGATTATTAAGTTTATTTTTCTGCTTATTACATGTAATGATCATCAAAGCAACCTTATATTTTACTGTCTGTTATCCATGATGATTACTGCACTCCCCTTGGTTTTAAAAGCTTTCTGTTTATACTGTCATGTTTGCTTCAGTCCAAGGCCATAATAAAGTATTCATCATCGAATCTTCCTTTGAACAACAAAGATCAAAATGGTTTTTTGTAGCAGATAAAGATAGAAACTCAGATGTCCAAGAAATATTTGCTTAGAAATGGGACACTTAGACATGAGAGAATGGTCTCCCAAGCAAGTTCACTCCTCTAAAAGTTGGAGTTTTATTTGGATTGTACTGGAGTACTCAAATCAAGCTGTCTCAAGGCTAAGTAAAGACAGATGGTGGGCTGATAGGCCATAATTGGATACTTATTTTCTGTGCGGACATAAAATGACCAAGATACTCCATAAAAAAAGATGTTAATCCAATATTTCAGGTAGCCAAGCTGCATATGAGTCTCCACGGAAATTAAAGATTCCAGGGCTTCAATGGTATTCAGAATAGGTCTCCAAAATTTAGATTGAGTTGCCTCTACAGGCTCAAGTCACAGTAGTAACAAATATATCTACCATATAGCAGGCATTGAAAGATCTGAACTCTGAATATATTTGTTGCAGCAGAAATATGATTATTGCCATTATGGTTAGAAAAATGCAGAATTTATTTGAAAGTTTATGGGCCTGATAGTGATATGCCTCTGCTGTTAATATCAGGTTGTCAAAACTTGGAAAGTTGCACCCAAGTATTTGAATATAAATATACTTTGTTTACTGTGACATGGATCTATGGAAAAATGCCTCAGTTAAGTAGGAAAGAGAACAAAATAGATTATTGAAAAATATGATGTTTCTTTCTTGTTGGTTGAGATGTTTAGTCTATTTGGGCACAATTTAGTAGCTGGCATATGTACAATCTGTTGACAGTATTTGTTGTTTTATTGATGCTAAGCACAATAAAAGTAGTAATTGGCCGGAAATAACGTATTGCTCAGTATATGAACTTAGAAAGCGCTATTTCATCCATACCTTCCGTTTGTACCATCCATTCAGATCTAACTTCCCATGGAATGACAACACAATAGGCCTTTTAATCCATTCTAGCATAATGGTTTAATGTATCAATTAGCTAAGGGAAGAGTGTAACCATTATGCAAATGGTAGATGACAAAGATATTAGGCTTTGACTCCATGGCTTCAAGCTCAAGGTTTCCACAAAAGCAAGGTGCTTGGTTGTGCAAACCCTTGGAAGGTAACCAGGAAAAAAATTGGTAAGGATTAAAGATGTCATGAACATTTTGCTCTTTGACTTCAGAAAAGATTGACAGACATGAGATAAACTGCACACGTCTGCTTTTACAAAAGCATTTCATAGAATTGCATGTTTTTTGTAATTGGATAAAGAGAAGCATAACATAATACATAATGCATTGCACCAGTGGATATCATTCAGAAGACTTTAAAAAGGAAGGCATGAGTTGTTTTTGCTTATAAATGAACAATAACGTAGCGGAACTTCTGTTATCATCCACATGACATGTCTGTAAACATTCAAGATCTACCGATCAACCTGTTTCTTGAAGCCATTTATTTCTGTCAGGAGGAAATCAGAAACGGATATTAAATATACTGTATTGCTCAGCTGGAGAGTATCTGAATTCTAACCATATGCTTTCTGTGTGCAGTTGAAACTTTAACTTAAATAATTTCCTTACATGGTGAGAGTTAGAATTTTGAGCTGAGGTAAAAAGTTGTTGTGGCATACATAAAACTGGGAATAATAGTCAGTCACAAAGGCTAATTGAATAAGGGACAAAAATGTTTCTTCAAATGAAAGCCTGAACATTTTCATGCCCAACATGAAAGCAAGATGGTTTCTTCATAGCAAGAGAATCTTCTGTCCTCGTCGCTAATCCTCACCTTTAAAAGGTAAAAGGCAGGATAGTGGATTGATTACAAGGCCTGCAAATGTATTCTATTGAAACCATTGCTGAGGTTCTACTCCTATAGGCTGAGCTATTTCTCTGAGAATTATTGCCGGTGTGACACTTCTTCAGATAATTCAAATAAAAAGCTGCAAGAAAACGTTGATGACTTTGCTAAATGCTGATCAGTTTAGCAAAGACCCTCTAGCAGAATGAGACTGCACTTGGAACATTTTCAGAAGAAGCAACAATTTTATTCAAGAATAAAAACTGTTGCTATTAAATCATTTATTTAAGCCACCAAGCAGACATTGGAGGCAGGGTCTGAAAACCTGTCAGTGGGTTCTCTTGTTAATGTGTTTGAAGTTCTGTAACTGCAACCCCATGCTTGCATAATTTGTTGAAAGTTTCAAAGAGCCGGCGGTCTTACTATAATCTTATCTGGGTCAGTACAAACACAATTAAACTTCTTTCTGCAGATCTGCATTTTATCCCACCAACCTTAAAGTTTTGATGGTGATGACATTTCTAGTGTTTGTCAATATAAATCATAGTTACTAAAACCCAGGTTTCTACAGAACCATAGTAGTTTACAAAATACAAATTGTGGTTCAAACTAGAACTGCATAACGTGAAACTAAGGGTACATCCCCTAAAATAATTAGTATACAAATTAGTATTCCAAAATTTGCTACTAAATTGCAATGTCTGATTTGATGGATTTTTTTTTTAAAGAAAAGTTATTATATTGAGGATATCTAATTTAAATGTATTCCTGTCAGTGAAAAGCCGGTTTGTGGCCATTGGATGAAAAAGAACATTCCTGGTACAATTACTTAGCTTCTGAGAGAATAGTAAACCAACAATAGACTTGTAATGTTCCCATTTCTTCAGATTTGCCTCATTTGGTGAATCTTTCTCATCACAGAGATGACGCTTCCAAATTTGTTCCTGATTCTTGGAACATTACTGCTCTATATGGATTATGTCTTAAATATAGTACAACACCTTGACTTTCTGAATGGTGCAGCCTATTTCCTGAGCTCTTTCCTCTTAACAGCAGGTGCCATCCCTCCAAATCGGACAGGCAACTATGGCCCCCTTACAACCTGTGGTCGTCAGCTCCCCAAATTCCTGAGCCAGCTACGCTATGGAGTTGAAGTCCACAGGTCGTAAAGGAGCCATAGTTGTCCATCCCTTCTCCAAATGGTTAACCTCATGACTGGGCTGCTTTTCTGGAAGGCAAGAAGTCAGCTCCCCCCTGCAAGGAGACTAGCAGTTTCCCTGTTGATTCTCTTGAGGGAGCGACTTATTCACCATATAGTTTTCATAATTCCAAGGCTTTAAAATTGTCTTTTTTACGCTTGTCCTCAGTACGTAAGCAAGAAATCATCAAGATAACAGAGCAGCTGATCGAAGCAATCAACAATGGAGACTTTGAAGCTTACACGTAAGTGAAGAAATGCAGAGGTCCTTTATGTATCATATAATGATCATGCAGTTAGTCCTCCTTTAGTGACCACTCACAATTACGATCAATGAAAAAGTAACTTTTTCTTCTTAATCTTCACATTTTTACAACTTTTGCAGGTCTATAAAACAAAGGAAAGCTGAAGACAGATCATAAACACAACTATAGTTTCACTTAGTGACTGCTTTGCTTAACCAAAGTGCCAGTCCCAATTGTAGCTACACAAGGACTACATATAATTAGTTACTTAAGCTATGAAAGTTTGTGCCAACTAATAGCCAGAAATACTTGTAACCTATTGATTGATAACATTGAGTGTCAAATATGCCCTTGTGTTTTTTAGCTAGAACACCAGACAAGCATAAGTGAATATTTGTCGATGCTGTAGAACCAATATGAAATACATGTAATAAATGCAGCTTGTCAATATCAATATTTTGAAAGCATGAAAAAATACTCATTCATTGTATCAAACTCATTCCTTTATACAAAAGTATTGTTAGGTGTTTTTTTCTGAAAAAGTGGTTATTTAATCTGAAAAAGAATAGTTAAATAGGAGGAAATTATGAGTTTATGTGTTTTGAGTCCTAATAGGAATAGAAAATCAGCATAAATAAATGCACTTGGAAATGAATAATGGGTAAATCCCATATACTGAATTTGGAACTAGAACAGTTCCACCCAAGGTTTGTTTTCCTATAATCTCTATCTATTTTGTCAGTCCAAGGGAGAGTTAAGATCTTCTCTAAAGCAAGAAATAATTAGCATAAATGATTGTATTCTTATATTTGAAGCTGCTTCAGGGTTTTTTGATAGGGAAAACCTGCATCAAAGTGGCACAGTACTAACAATGTGTAATAATAGTTGCGGTTGTCTGATAAATGATTTCAAGGATTAGATGCCAATGAGATCAGATTACTTCATTTGTTATAGGAAGATCTGTGATCCTGGGCTGACCTCATTTGAACCTGAAGCACTGGGAAACCTCGTGGAGGGGATGGACTTCCACAAGTTTTACTTTGACAACTGTGAGTGGTAGATAACTGGCAAATTCAAAATGATTCTTCCCCTCTCTCCATGGGTAGGAAACAGTCTGGGATTTCATCTCCAGCTCTGGACTAGTTGTCAGTAAGGATCATATTGTAACTTTGATATATACACTTCCAAAATTCACTCAATTTTTCCCAGATTGTTTCTGAGATTGGACAAATCTGTTCCATGTCCTCCATTTTGTTCCCTTTTTATTTCCAAATCTTGCATATAAAGCATGTGCACTTTGCTACAGCTTTCTGTCTCTGTGATTGTCTTTTGATACCACCTTGTTTTATAGGACTAGGGATTGAATACCTGATGGTATCTAGGGAATTCTGGGGAATGCAGGGGAATTCTGAGAGTTGAAGTCTACACGTCTTAAAGTTGCCAAGGATGGACACCCCTGCTCTAAAGGGTCAAGAGCTGTCCAGAGTAACTCAACAGTGAGATGAGTGACATATAAATTAAACAATTAAATTAAAAAGCACATACTTAAAACCCTGAAAAATTCCTGGCTACCTAAAAGGCAGCATTCTCTGTTTTTAGAAGTACACATATGTGTTGAACAAAACTCACTGAAATTTTAATATAGTCATATATCTAATTGCATCAAGATTTCATTTATGTGTTTTACTAATGCACTACATGTATGTATTTAAATATCATAAATAGAATGCATATTAATTTAAAGTGTTATATTGACAACCACTGAACTCTGTTGGGCAATTTACAGTAAAAGAAGTATCATCCATATTCTTATTATTTAACAATAAGGAGAATATGTCTTAGTGAACTACAAAAGTAGAAAATTATAGCAAAGTGCTCTAATTATTTTTAATTTCACCTGTTTCAGGAATGTATGCTACACTTCAATATTTTGCAGAACAATATATATTAAAATACTTTGCAGCAATCAATGTGACCAAAACCCGAATTAATGTTGAAAGGAAAATTACAACCTATTCAGAAGTGGAATGTTTGGAAAAATAGCAAAAACAATATAGCTTCCAGGCAAGTCTTTCTAGGCAGAGATCCCCAGAATAGCAGGAAGAAGAAAGGATAAAGCCCTCTACTTGCAAACAAGGTGTCTTCTGTCCTTTGATGGGAAAATATGGAAAGGAAAGAGGTGACTGGAGGTTCTGCTGAGTTTGACTCTAGTTCCCAAATCATTTAGGGTTTTCAGGACAGGCAGTAGCTCTCACTGTGGTTCACATATGGCAGTGCAGTAAAATTAACAATAATAAATTTCAATCATGAGATTGAGTTTGTACTTCAGTTTGCCACGGATCGTTTCAGAGATTGCCCGGCTGAAACTGAGTGTCAAATAGAACCTTGCTTCTGGAAACCCAAAGCTTCCTGAGTCATGTTGACCTTCACTGCAGCATTAACAAATGGCAATTACTCTTGGACAGAATTATATGATGCGATGTAAACACAGTCAAAAGTACCAGCCCATTTGCAGATAAACAGATGCAGAGGAGCTGCTAAAAACATCTATTTATTCATAAGATTGGATATAATTTGTGAAATCGCCTGCCATATTTTGACTAGCTGGGGGAAATCTTTATACTTAAAGCATTTTCAAAGCTGGATTGGCTTGTTCTATTTTCTGATTAGGCATGCACGAAAATGATATTTGTCACAGAAACACTCTAAGGGGAAAAACTGTAAAAATTGTGAAGGAAAGAGACAGGGTTCTTTGTATTATATATCTTTAAAGTTGATTTGTAGGGGACGAAGGAAAGAGTTAAAAATGTATTTTCTTTCCTAATCATGATTTCTATGCTAATGTAGATTACAGGCAGATGCAGAGTACATTTATAAAAGTATTGTGAATGAAAAATAGTTCTAAAATTTAATTTCTTACCAAGTAAAATCATGGGGAAATTAAGTCCTTCATCCTGATAAATACCATCTTAACATGCGAAAAGTATTCATTCTAGTACTGTCCTTTTGTGTGTGGGGATTTGGGGTTTTCTATTATCATCTTTCTTCTATTTTCCTCACAAAAGCTGTGATTGAAAAGAAGACCAAAAAGAAATGTTCCAATGGTGCTGCTGTGAAAACAAGGCCTTTCCTCCCTTTTCCCACATTGAGATGATACTTATAGGGAGATCTGTGCAGGGAGAGGTTTCCCGCTCTTTATGTCCCCTCAAAGCGTTCATCATATTTTGTAGAGACCCAGATTGACTTTGGTGCAGTTTGGGAGGCAATTGCTTCACTTTGGATGAATCCACTGTCTCAATTAATACTCTGTAGCACATGATTTGTCCAACTTTGATGCACACCCTTTGGTTTCGTACGATTTGTTCTTAGAACTACCTAATCTTAAAAGTTTTTTTTTTTTTCATTAAAATTCAGGACAAGTGAATAGAAAATTCTATTTATTTCAGTCCATGGTTCGTTTGAGAATAAGATTAAAGGGTAGCATTTGTTTTAAAGAATGTGCTATTGCCCCATAAAGGACTGCTTCTCTTTTCTTGCAAAAGATAAGCAATAGCTTTGCTACCAAATTTCTTCCTTGGTAGGGTTTGAGGTATCCTGTATAGCAGGGGTGAGATTCAACTGGTGTTACTACCAGTTCAGTGACTATGTTTTGTGCGCACATGCTGCGCGCGCATGTAAAAAACCTTAAACTGTGCCGCCCGGACAGCTGAAAAGCTCTGCACACAGGTGCGCAGCGTTTGAGCCACTTTTTTTCCTGCTTTTTCAACTGCAGCTGTGCCGTGCAAAGCAGTTGAGGTTGAAAAAGCAGGAAGTAAAGGACAGGTAAGAGCCCAGACGGGCAGGCGGGTGGGCCAAACAGCAGCAATCACAGAACCGGTTCGGTGTCTGCTGCTCTTCAGAGCTACCCATTCTGTAGAGCTGGGCAGAACTGGTAGCACCTCACTCCTGCTGTATAGGTGGTAGGGAATATGGTGATGCAATGTGAATGATATCTCTGGTCTCCCATCATGTGGGTGGATGGAAACCTCTGCAATATAGTCCTCTCTTGACAGCCAGGTATGAGCAAAGAAATTTCTGTCACCATCTTACAGCTTCCCATAGGCAGATAGTGGAAGCCTAATTTAGGCTGGTCAAGTTATTGTCCCCTTCCTCTTTCTGCTGCTCATCCATGTCTGTCTTATCAATAATTTTCCTAATTCTGTTATATTCCATAGAGGCAAAGTGGATTCTATTGCACATGATTATGTTAAATGATAAATCAATTCATTTTATCCTTCCAAGAATTCTTTAGATGCAAAACAGCAGGAAAATAATACCATTTTTAGAACGTATGGAGAAAGTAACTGAAATGCTGGGTGGATTGGAGCTTTGCTTTGGTTAGGGAAAAAAAAGTTAGAAAAAAACATTTGTAAAAAGGGGGAAAAGTGGATGCAACATCCCCCGATTGAGATAGAAGAAAACAACAAAGATGCTGAAGATGGGATCGTGCGGTTGCCCTACTGTAACTGACAAGCAATTTCTCTTGGGTGAGTTGAGAAGAATCTTGATTGTTTTTTGTATTTCCTCAGTACTGTCCAAGAACAGCAAACCAATCCACACTACCATCCTGAATCCCCATGTTCATGTTATTGGTGATGATGCAGCTTGTATTGCCTATATCCGTTTGACTCAATATATTGATGGCCAGGGCCGGCCTCGCACCATGCAGTCCGAAGAGACCCGTGTCTGGCATCGCCGTGATGGCAAGTGGCTGAATGTACACTACCATTGTTCCGGGGCTCCTGCAGCTCCGCTCCAATGAAGCTACAAATGGGTAGGTTTGGCAGGGAAAGGCTACAAGTGCTGTTAGGAATATATTGGGCAAAGTTTAGCTAGACAAGGTCCCCCAGGTCTGAAGACTTTCAGGGAAAGTGAGCCATATAAATACTTGGTATTCTGAAATGTCACCAGGGATGCAGAGAAGGCAGAGAGGGAAAACATGCAAGTGAAAGATGTACAGATGTACTAATTCATGTTAGTAAGTCTTAATAGAAGAAGAAAAAAGACCTTTTGAGCTAATGCAACTAATCTCACTATAATACTTTTAATCAGAAGGATGTTCAAGTGAGGTTTACTTCCTGTGTTTAACTTAAAAGCTAATAGAGAAAAGAAGTCCATACTGTACTGAAATGAGTTGAAAAGCTTTGAGAGGAGGGAATGGATCAAACATCCTTCTTCTTCAGGTTGTTACAGACAACGGCCTTAGGCACACACACACCCTCACCCCATAGAGAACCAAAGGATTCCAAGTTTAGTCATCTCATTTATTGAGGCAGAAGCCAGGAAAGACTCTGGGGAGTTTGCCAGTCCTGGGTGCTGATGTTTGTTCACTGATCAGCCCTGCAAGATTAGATAGCATATTTGATACATGGTTCAAATATCACAACCATACTTGATTCCCCAAGTTTTTAAGGCCCCAGTTAAAGCAAAAGTCCTTTCTCACAATAAAAACATAGGTGTTTTTGTAACTTCCCTAATTTTTTGATAAATAACTCAAGGCAGCAAAGATACCTAATGCTCCTTCCTCCTCCTATTTTCTCTATTTTTTCTCTCCGAAGAACTAAACAGGATAGAGCAATTTTTAGTCTCACGGGACAGTGCTATTTAGAGTGAAAAATGTATGTCTTTACAATCCCCAAGTTACAGAACTTGAATTTTTTTTTATTGGGGTATGTTTTCAAGGTAAAAGCTATATAATTAGTACTATATAAATCCTGTATAATATTTATCAAGGTGTTCAATTTCTCTCACCATTTCTAGAGGAATCAAAAATTATCTGATCAAACCTAAGCTAAAGAGTAACAAGACTTTTTCTGAAATTTCTTTTGCTCTGTTATGACGAATCCCAGTAGAGCTCCCAGAAGCTTCCTTACCCGATCAGGCTTTGCTGTTCCTTAAGAGTCAGCTTGATAACTAGCATTGGTAACTGGGGCATTATATTCATTTAAACGTTTATCATAATAGTTTTAGTGGTTCAAGTGGATTGCTGAATTTCCTATCTACCCTTGCAGAGGGGCATGGAAAAGGGGACAATGGGGAAGCAAAGACGAAGAAACATTGTCTTCTAATAGTTCAAGGACATGGTTTCCTAATTTAAAAAAAAACTGAGTTCCCTTCAGCAGTTCATGAGGACACACAAAAAAAAACCCTTAAATTATGTAACTTGATGGGTTGTTTAAAAAAAAAAAAAAGCCGACAGACAGTTCTACCTTTTCTCTTGACACCTTGCAAGTGCCGTTTCTTGTCCCTTTTCAACCTATTAAGTTTTAAGTTTCTTAAACTTCTTGGCTTTCTGTGTAGAAACTCATCCTCTTTATTCATACAAGATAAATAGAGCAAAAGGGGGCATTTGTCACCTCTTCCACAAAGTTTATTCTTTAAATCTGCAATAAAACATACAAGGAAACCTTTTGGGTGGATTTTGGGCAATTTGGTTTCAAAATCAGAAGTATGCCTCCCTACGCTAGGTGTGCTTAAAGGGGCAATGCAGCTTTATTTGTTTTAGAAACACTTTGAATAGGAAACAGCACAGAAGTTATTTTTGGGCAACACACTCATCCTATAGCATCCTTGACATGGAGCAGATACAACTCTGGTTAAATTCTTCTAACTATTAGAAGAGAACAATCCAACAAATAATGTGTCTCTTTTTCACCGTTTCCTTTCTTCCATACTAACTTCTTAAATTTATTGTTTCAGATTGCTGAGATAGTTTACAGCCAGTAGAATATTAACTTAAAGAAATGATTTTAATAATTAATAATAATTAAGTGGGATAGGGAGGACTATCCCCTAACTATCGTGTGCTGTGGAGTATAACCATCTTCAGTATACTAGCTCAAATGCAGGCGCAATCATCCAGGCCTTGGGTTTCCTAATCTGTTTTGCCCCATTGACCCGGTTATGTTTTTTCCTTCCATGGTTTTTCTCTTCATGCTTTTTTCTTTTCCGATTGCAGCAATTTTCGGAGATACTCAGAGGGAGGGCAATATCTTCTCAGCAAGCAGCTCTGGAGTACCTGAATTACAGCAACGGTCATATTCGTTTTGACGTTTAAAGAAATATGAATTACAAACCGGCAGCAGCCAAATGCACGAAACCCTGCATGAATCTGATGCTCCGGGTGCTGCCGCCTTTCTGTTGTTTTTCCATGGATCCATCGTGTCTGTTTCTGCTGTATGAAGGTGTCTTATAAATCCTGAGAGAAACCCATATTGTTCGTATAGAAAAGAGATCATCTGTGATGGAGTCTCCAGCACCTCCCCTGCAGGGCTGATGACGGAGCAACAGCTGTGAAGCATCTTTCAGCATTGGAGCAAAGAAAGGGAGAGAGAGAAAGAGTTTGAGAGCGAGAGACTGTGCCTCTTAGGCAGCAGGATGCTGTCCTCTGCTGTAGGCCCAGTGGAAATTGACCTTGTCTTCGGGTTATGCTGCTGCTTTAATCAGTGAGGTATGGCTGATGGTGGCGAGCTCACAAGGGCCAGCCTAAAGAAAAGGGGTAAAGCAAAAAGGAGGACTTTTCTTACACTGCTGCCATCCAGCAACCAACTGGAGCCCAAACCTCAGCAGTAAAGATGAGCCTGGCTACTGGCTCCCACTGATGGATTGGATAAAAATGAACAAGAATGTTTTAAAGAACAAGTACGAGCTGGTTTTGTTAGCATAGGAGCTTCAGAGATGCACTGATTTTTACAAACAGCCACTCCTCGATGATGTAAAACTTATAAGGGTAGAATTTAAAAGCAAATAATCTTAAGAGGGCAAAAAAAAATATGTGAATGGCTTACTTTGTTTTATTTTTTATTGTTTAGAATAGATGGGATCCAGAGTGCTGCAGAATATGTGCTCCTTAGGAAACAGTTGAAAAGCTTTGTTACACTCCGCCCTGAAGATTTGCACACACATGCATTTGCTTCCTATATGGTGTGTAATTTAGTCTCTGTGTTATACTAAAATACTATATTATCTATGAATTTAAAAGAATCTCTCTATAATTATGGGGCTAACTGGTTCCCAGTTTGATTTGTTTTCTGATAAAACTAGCAGAGGGAGCCAGCAACTTCCAGAAGTGCTTTTTTCAGTAGCCCAGTCTATTTGACATTGCTTTATTTCCTGTTCTGTAGTTTTTGGGGGGTTGTTTTAACCACATAAACATAGAACTTTTGCATCAAACATATTTATTGTCTTTGCTACAAAGAAAGCAAGTAATGTTCTTTATTTCCTACATCAGAAGTGTTTGACAGCTTTATGGTTTGATTATTATTATTTTTAGTTTCTGAGTACAGAAGTGGGATAAAAGCCTTCCCAATAAATTTCCAAGATCAGATTTACACGATGACTTTCTCTGCCCCTTGTGTACAATGCACATCAAACATTTTTATGACCATTCATTAGATCCGAGAACATGGAATTCCATCAAGTTGTTCCCTTTGTTCCTGAAATAGGGTGGAGAATAATTTTGCTGTCTAATTAAATAGAAAATAGAGGGTGAATTTAATGGAGCTTAGGAAAATACAAAATTTTAATTTCAATATGAATTGGAAGGGAAATAAATACCTTCTTCTGTTCTTCAAATGAGAAACTCCTAACTCAGCTCCATAATATTTGTGATAGCTTATGACTCAGTGCAGGAAAAAAGCATTCCTTCTTGCAGAGGAATTTTGTGCAAAATTTCCTTCTCCTTTATAACGAGAGAGAATATTTTCTCAAGCGAGAAATGTTCTACTGGGACTAAAGAACCTGTGACACTTCAGTTGCTGGCTACACCTCCCAGTATCCCTCACCATTGGCTTGTGAGCTGGAGTTATAGATGGAGTTAATTCAACATCATCTGGAAGGTGACAAAAACTTTGCTTTTTCCTATAAATTTAATGTAGAACACATCTAGGGCTAAGTGTGTGAAGTAAAACCCCTGATAATTTAGGATTTTAAGGAATAACATTACAAAGTGAGGAACAGGAAATTAGTTATACTGCGTAATAAAAAGATGTGCATGCTTCTAGGTCTGATCTTTTCTTGTCTTTATCTGATTATTCATAATCCTCTGTACTGAGTATCTGCATCCTTAAAACATATTTTTGGAACCGTTTGAGTTGTTTTGTCTTTGCTTTTACCGTCTGTAAGACCTGTTCCAATTTAATGAAAATCTTAGCTTGGTATGGCCATTTTCAAACACAGCTATAGACCTTTGGCTTTCTTAATGTTCTCCTATGAGGTTAATGTAAGCATCTATATCATGTCCAGTTTTACACAGGAAATGGAACACGTTTGATGCAATCTTTTTGCATGATAGTGAAATAATAAAATAAAGTTAGGGTTTTTTTTCCTGAATGTTAATAGAACCTTCATAGCTTTGTCACAATGAAACCTTGAACTGAACATATTTAATAAAATAACATTTAAATGGTGCAAAATATCAGATAGCAATCTTCTATTTTCCTTGAATGCCTGAGAAAACAGCATCAGCTCTTTGGAGATGTCCCTTTATCAAGATGGCAGTGAGGTATGCGCAAATGTGTTGTACACCTGGAAACAGCTGAGTGAGATGAATGAGTTTTTATGTGTATGTAGCTGCGTCAAACTGAGGTTATGGCCACTGATCCAACAAGCAGTGGCTGAAAATAATGCCCAGGCATGTTTGAAATTACCTATAAAGCAATGTCAGGATTGTGGCTAAATATTTAAGGTAGTTTAACTTGAAGAAGCTACTAATTTATTAAAATCTCCATTGTTTATTATGTTTTTATGCTGCACCAAGTGCAGCTCCAAGCCTAAATATTTGAAAGTTCCTGTAGTTCCATTTAGAATTGAATAATGGACTCAGAGGTTTAGCTGTTTGATGTATAATTTATATACAGTCAGATTCAACACAGATCTAACATACAAATACAGAAATATCTACAGTTATAAAAACAACTTCACCATGTTCTACAATTCTATAGTCTCAGGATTTTGGAATTGGCAAGGCATCTAGATAAAACAAAGTACCAAACCTAAGAATCTGAATTCCATTTGAAGGTTTTTAAAAGCATGAAGCTTATCCTTCTCACCAATTAATATTAATTTAGATCCAATCTTTATATTAGAATTCCCAATAATCTTTTATCTCCATCGTCTAATGCAGGACAAAGTATATGTATGTATGAGTCTTCCCACATTTTCAATGTAACCATAAATATGGTAATGTAGAGATAATGGAAGTCGGTACAGTATAGACTTAAACAATACAGTACAGTAGATTGGTAGTATTCAAAAGTATAGACTCCTCTAATGGTGCTATTCCCTTTTTACTCTACCCAATTCAGACAAATATCTCAATTCTTTCCAATAATATTGTTATCATAAATTTTGGAATTAAGAGAATTAAATCCAGTAGTTACAATCTTATATACAGGTAGTCCTTTACTTATAATCACAATTGAGCCCAAAATTACCACTGCTAAGCAACATAGTTGTAAATTTTTGTCTCATTTTACGACCTTTCTTGCCACACTTGTTAAGTGAATCACTACAGTTGTTAATTAAGTGAATCATTACAGTACAATAATGCTGTTCACAGTAGCACGGGATTAACCCCCTTCAAATTAGTGAGCGGCATGGACTTCGTCCAAATGCCTGAGTATCCAAGGGATCCCCTCTCCTCAGTCACCCTGACTGATTGGATGTCAACGCTGAAAGCAACTTAGGAGAATGTAAAAAAGGCACTGGCAAAAGTGGCACAGAGACAGGCAGAAAAAAACACCAGGCCCCGCAAAGGCCATTCCAAGTGGAGGAGAAGGTCTGCCTCTCCACCAAATACTTGAGGTTAAGGCTCCCCAGAAAGAAGTTGGGGGCCAAAGTTCATGGGACCTTTCCCCATTGTAAAGATCATCAACCCAGTCACAGTGCAACTGAAGTTGCCCGGCTGTTAGGGAAAATATACCCAGTATTCCATATTAGCCTCTTAAAACCCATCATGGGATTGACCCTGAGGCCACTACCTTGTGAGCCCCTAGACCTCGTGGTCATAGGGGGCCAAACCCATTATGAGGTGCAGTGAATCCTCAATTCGAGGTGGCACAGGAGACAGCTCCAATATTTAATCAAGTGGAAGGGCTACCTCTTATCAAAAACATCTTGGGTAAAGAATAGGAACGCCCAAGCCGATCACCTTGTGACGAGATTCCATGCAGAAAACCCAACCAAGCCTTGGGGGGGGGCGGGTTCGCAACCCTAAGTTCTATATCTGCAATAAATTTGTTTTTTGTTGTGTTGTACAAGGTCACCTTCAAGAAATGAGGGGAGCTGAATGTCAACTCAAAAATATTTCTCTGGTCTTTTAGAGTTGCCAGTAGAAAGGGAGTGGGGGAAGTAGTGCATTCCTTAAATGCTTCATATATAATTTCTAGGCGGCCAAAGCTTCTGGCGTGCAAGATTATTACTGGGAAGCATGATTGATGACTCTTGGCTATGGATGGGTTCCATTGGAGAATATACATCCAGGGGGTGGGGGAAGATCAGGGTCAAGGGTGAAATGAATGATGTGTCTCAGAGTCAGCTACACCCAGGTAGCACCGGCATGTTCATTCTTAATAAATCTTTAAACTCTGAGAGATGAGGCTAGAGACTCATGATTTAAATGGGAGTGGATGCCAGAGCCCTGACAGTTAAATTACCGGTAGTAACACAGTTGTGAAGTGGACCCTGGCTTCCGCATTGACTTTGCTTTCAGAAAGTTGTAAAAGGTGATCACATGACCCTAGAATAATGCAATCATCATAAATACATGCCAGTTGCCAGATGCCCTTTATGATCATTTGACCACGGGGATGTTGCAACAGTTGTTAAGTGTGAAAAATTGTCATGTCACTTTTTTCAGTGCCGTTGTATCTTTGAATGGCTGTAAGCCAAGAACTACCTGTATTTAGTCCAGTCCAATTCCCCATATTACTTAATGAAATGAACTGTCTTTCTAAAGCAGATTTGTCCTATAGATATGGCTGTCCAGTTCTATTTATGGAGTTCATTGGTATACTGGTATGATAACAGCCAAGCATCATCTGCTTTAAAAATAAGTCTTGATTCACAGTATTGAAGAACATCACATACTCGATTTTTGCATTGTGCCAGATGCTAGTATGGTAAGACAAACATAAAGGAAGGCAGGTGATTCTCTTTTGCCTTTTATAAAATGATGTGCTCTGAAATCTCTACAAATTTTTGACCTGATGTACAATTAGCAAGTTTGTTGCTTTCAGAACACAATGGATATCCACCAATGCTCTTTATTAATGGTCTTTTCTTCTGTCCCTTTGAATTATCATATTGGCCAGCATAATTTGATCATGTTCAGTGATCAGTCTCTTGTTCACAATTCATCTTTTCTGGGCCAATCAGCAAGTGTTTAGCAAGACTGGAGATAACCTCTGTGTACAGTTATTAAGGAGAAGGATTTTTAACTGCTATGTTAAGCCTTTGGTACTAAGAGGATCCTTGTATGATTAAGATATTTGGGACAATTAAACAGCTATCTGGGGAACTGAAAATCAAAATGAAATATTCCAGACAAAACTTCAACCTTGTTTGTGATTAGGGAAGGGTCAAATACAAATCCTCAGGGATTTTAACTTAGAAATTGAAGACCTTTTGAGAACTCTTACCTTCAAAGTTTTAATTGCTCTTTCAATTTGTATAAATTTCAGATGTCTCTACCACTTCCTTGCCTTCCTTCAGGTTAAAAATCTGCAAGATTTTGTTATTTATGTGTATTTTTAAGAAGCAAGACAATTCATTGTGGAAAATTGCATGAAAACTGACGGGATTATCAATGAAGATCACACCACATATTTTTATTTAGGGATAATAAATTTTTCTGATAACTACCAGTATATGAAGTCCACATCAAAAAGCAATCATACAATAACATACCTTTTAAAAGTATTAGTAAAAAGACTAGTTTACAGTGTTAATATGTTTTTGATAGCAGAATGTGTAAAAGTGAGAAACAAAACCAATTCACAACCTGCCCAACAAGTGGGCCTTTTCCACTGGCGCTCCTGACAATTCTACTTGGAGAGAAAAGGGACCAGAGAACAATGAGGCTCCAAACCTTTGGGGGATTCGGGTAGGAGCCATGATATAGAAGGTACATTTCCTAGGCCTAATCAGATGATATTGCTCAATGAATGGGATACCCTATTGGCCCTTAACCCAAGGGAGTGAAGAATAAGAGCAGTCCCTCAAACAGCCAAGTCCTATATCATGAAGATTTTTTTAGATGGTAACCAGCACCTGGAATCGCACTCAGAAGTTCACTGATAACCAGTGTAGGTCACATTGCTGAAGTGTCATATGGGTGCATTAGATTGACCTATAATCCTCACGTTGCTGCATTCTGGACCAGCTGTAGCTCCCAAATGGTGTCCAAGGGCAGCATCATGTACAGCATTTTGCAGTAGTTCATACATGAAGGTCCAAGGTCTAAAGGACTGTGAGATGGAGCTCCTGGTCTATGAAAGGTGAAATTGCTGCAGTAAGTCTGTGTGAAGTTCATCCTGGTGTGCTGTGAAGCTGTGAGCCCAGAAGAGGGAAGTACAATTCCACTTCAAATTACACATGAAGTCACTGCAACCAGAAGAACCATGCACCCATAACCTTGTTAGGTTTGAGCCTCTAGCACTGAGACATGGTCTTAACAGCCTGGTTTAGTTAGCCAGAGGTTCAGTTCATGAGCATCCTGATGATATCTGACCCCATCCTGGCAGATGACTCGTCCAGCTGTTTCATGTAGATATTAAATAGGAGAGGCGAGACCGTAAAACCCTGAGGTACCCTGAAAACAAGAGGCTTTGGGCTGGACCTGTTTCTGCCTGTCAGTGATGACTGGAAGTGACCACCAAGAAAAGGGAAAACAGCTGTCATGTAGATTTTTAAAATGTTGCACAGGTTTGAAAGACAATTCTCTGTTTGTCTTTAGTTTAATTATTTAGTTTGTGTTTTTTAACCTATATGCTGCCCTTTAAAACTGTTTTCCTGGGGGAGTGGGGGCTGAGAAGTGGCATACATTCAACAGTGCCTTTCAAACTCTTTCACTGCATATGATTTCTCATGATTGGGCCCTGAAAATGGAGGAATCCCACTCACCAAGAATTAGTTTCAAGGGGAAAAAAGGAAGAAATCCCTCACTGCTCTATGCCCTAAATACACTCTTCATCAAATGTGGTGTGACCAGCTTGCTTGTGCTTCACACATTCTTACGTTGATAGTTGCTATTAAGAAAAATATCCACTTTGATGGGCTGCGAACAATATTAATACCAATCAATTAATCCAATGTTTAAGATGCTGGTTATAAAAGGAATATTTACTATTTTTAATAGTTCCCCTACTTTTCAAAACCAAAAGCCAGAGAATTCTGTAGAAAGGACATTTGCT